TGCTGGTCTGTGTATGTATGCATTATATGGGTCTCGCTAAGAGTGTTGTGATTTTAAGACGCTTAGTCAGTTTGTCCTGTGTGAACTCCAAACCGCACACACACACACACACACACACACACATAAATGCACACACACACACAGACACACAAACAGAAACACATAAACACACACGCATACACACACATACAAACAAACACACACACACACACAAAATCACACACACACACACACAAACAAAAAAGACTACACGTACCCAAAAACAAACGCGCGCACACACACACGCATGATGAAGGAACACAAAAGCAACTGAAACGACAGAAAATAAACATAATATATGATCAACAATTCAGATTACAATAAGAAAACAGGAACACAACACAAACAAAAACCATTATAAACACATTCAGTCATACAAACAGAAGATCTTTAAACAATCAAAATAAACATACAAAAAATACAAATGTGAATGTTATTTTATTATTATTTTATAAGATAAATGATTAATTTATTAATAACTTATAATAATTTATAATAACTTATTCATAAGTCATATATAGTGTACTCCCAGGCCACTTTATTAGGTACACCTGTCCAACTGCATGGTGCCACAAATGTCTAATCAGCCAATCACATGGCAGCAGCTCACTGCATTTAGGCATGTAGACATGGTCAAGATGATCTGCTGCAGTTCAGAGTGAGCATCAGAATGGGGAAGAAAGGGGATTTAAGTGACTCTGAACGTGGCATGGTTGTTGCTGCCAGACGGGCTGCTCTGAGTATTTCAGAAACTGCTGATCTACTGGGATTTTCACACACAACCATCTCTAGGCTTTACAGAGAAACAGAGGAAATCTCCAGTGAGTGGCAGTTCTGTGTGCGCAAATGCCTTGTTGATGAGGCCAGAGGTCAGAGGAGAATGGCCAGACTGGTTCCAGCTGATAGAAAGGCAACAGTAACTCAAATAAGCACTCGTTACAACCGAGCTCTGCAGAAGAGCATCTCTGAACACACAACACGTCCAACCTTGAGGCGGATGGGCTACAGCAGCAGAAGAGCACACCGGGTGCCGCTCCTGTCAGCTAAGAACAGGAAACTGAGGCTACAATTCACACAGGCTCACCAAAACTGGACAATAGAAGATTGGAGAAACGTTGCTGCTCTGATGAGTCTCCATTTCTGCTCACACATTCGGATGCTCGACTCACAATTTGACCTCAACAACATGAAAGCATGGATCATCCTGCCTTGTATCAGCGGTTCAGGCTGGTGGTGGTGGTGTAATGGTGTGGGGGAGATTTTCTTTGGGTCCATTAGTACCAATTGAGCATCAACGCCACAGCCTACCTGAGTATTGCTGCTGACCATGTCCATCCCTTTATGAGCACAGTGTCTCCATCTTCTGATGGCTACTTCCAGCAGGATAACGCAGCATGTCATAAAGCTCAATCATCTCAGACTGCTTTCTTGAACATGACGATGAGTTCACTGTACTCAAATGGCCTCCACAGTCACCAGAGCTCAATCCAATAGAGCAGCTTTGGGATGTGGTGGAACGGGAGATTGGCATCATGGATGTGCAGCCGACAAATCTGCAGCAACTGTGTGATGCTATCATGTCAATATGGAGGAATATCTCTGAGGAATATTTCCAGTAGCTTGATGAATCCATGAAGGATTAAGGCAGATCTGAAGGCAAAAGGGGTCCAACCCGGTACTAGTGAGGTGTACCTAATAAAGTGGCCAGTGAGTGTAGTTTCCTCCAGCTTATTAGATGATTTATCAGGTGTCGCCACAGCGACAAATGAACCACCTTTACCTCACTCAATACTGACTCAGTACTTGTAAAAGCAAGGCAATATTTTAAGAAAATGCTTCTTGATTAAAGAAATTGTAGATATTTAGACCAGAAACGAGACAAAACCTCATTTGTTTGCCATCTTAACAGATCTCCCGTAAGAACACACAGGTGGAGAATGACAGAGCGCACGTTTATTGCATCAGTATCTTTATTAATCCTGGAAAACAAAAGCACAAGAGAGCAAAGCTACGCCATACAAACGGCCAGACGAGAGCGAGTGACGCGGGAGGTCTTGCATAGCTCAGGTGTGGCGATGGAGGATCAGTAAGGCACTTCACTTCAGCTACAGCAGTCTCCAGAAAGCAGAAATCGGGAAAAAAAGTCATGCTTGTGCAGAAACGGCTGGAGACGCAGAGCTCGAAAACACTGGAAAACCCTTGTGCGACGCTTCTGGAAGGCAACGAGTTGAGCTGTTGGGGGATTATGGAGCTCAACCTGTGACAAAACCATCTGAATTCGAGTCGTGTAACAGTTGAGTTACTGACAATTGTAATTTAAGCCAAACTGAATATTATATGCCGTTAAAAATGTAATTTCTGAACTTTAATTTTGGGGCGGCATGGTGGCTCAGTGGTTAGCACTGTGGCCTCACAGCAAAATTATCACTGGTTTGAGCCTCGGCTGGGTCAGTTGGTGTTTCTGTGTGGAGTTTGCATGTTCTCCCCATGTTGGTGTGGGTTTCCTCCGGGTGCTCCGGTTTCCCCCACAGTCCAAACACATGCGCTATAGGAGAACTGATTAACTAAATTCGCCGTAGTGTATGAGTGTGTGTGTGTGTGTGTGTGTGTGTGTGTGATTGTGAGAGTGTATGGGTGTTTCCCAGTACTGCTTTGCGGCCCATCCAATAAAATCTAAACTAACCACATTGATGTTGTCCGCTCACATGACTAGTTTTGTTTTAATTCATCTGTGCATGTCAGATGAGAAAAATAAAACAGTTTGCTCTTGTAATGTAAAGTAAAATCTGCTAATGCACTTCCTGTTTGTTTTCAGTTAAATTCTCAGATCAGGTTTGTCTGACGTAGTGGGCAGGGCTAACATACTTAACCACGCCCCTCCAGCTGTCAGTTTTGACATCAAACAGAAACGGTGAGGAGGAGGAGTCTGACCCATAACTGTCCCCAAACCATTTTGCCCATCTTTCTGAATGCCACACCTACCTTACTATATCCAATCAGCACACAGTAGAAAAAACAAGCCACGCCCATTTACTCATTTAACATCCCGTTTCTCTAGGAACTGCTTCACAATGTGGAAAAATATGGTCGCAGCTTGCGGTTCATGCAGACTTTCAAACTAAGGGATTTCCTAGCTTGAGGACTGTCAAGCAACCAGGCTCTGATTTTTAAAGGGAGATACTTATAGACATGCATTTTCAAGCAACAGAAAAAAATCCAGAAAAAAATCCAAAAATCTGTTGCTTGAAAATGCACGTCGGTGAAAACCTGCCTTTAAAAATCAGCGATCTTAAACTTTAAATGTTGAGTATTCCAGCTAGGAGATTTAATTCGTAATGACTTATACTATTCAGTTGTATTAAACTACAATTATCAATCGTTCAAATGAACTCAATTCAGATTCAGGTTGTTTTGTCATAGTTTAGGCTCCATACGTTTTTTGGCACGAGGTCTGGAGGTTTTTCACGGGTTTCTCTATCCCAGCTGATCCTCGTACTGCTTTCGGAAACAGTCTCCGGCCGGGAAAAAGTCCCAGCAGCGCTCCTGGTACATCTTCCACACGTACGACTCCTGCCGAGAAAGACAGCATTTAACCCTCCCGTTAACCCTGCCTCCTGATTACAACATGGATCAGGCTCTCTCTAAACAATGTTTTGACTGAAATTACTTTTTCAGCAAATTCAGCCACTGTTTAAACACAATAATATGATGTAACGACATAAATGATGTTTTAGACACGCCACGCACAGTCTGGCTTCAGGTTAGCAACTGGAGCTAAAGCACAAAATGATGGAAAAATGTCAACTCTGTTGTCAACAAGGTTACCGTCAGCTCTGTTACCGTCAACTCAGTTACCGCCAGATCTGTTACTGTCAACTCGGTTACCTACCATCAACTCGATTTCCGTCAACACGATTACCATCAACTCGGTTACCGTCAACTCAGTTATCGTCAATTCGGTTACCGTCTGCTGTAATGTCAACTCTGTTACGGTTAACTCGTCTACCGTCAGCTCTGTTACCGTCAGCTCTATTACCGTCATCACGATTACCATCAACTCAAATACCGTCAGCTCTGTTACGTCAACTCAGTTACCGTCAACTCAGTTATTGTTAGCTCTGTTACCATCAACACGGTTATCATCAACTCTGTTACCTTCAGCTCTCCTACCGTCAACTCTGTTACCATCAACTTTGTTGCGGTCAACTCTGTTACCGTCAGCTTTCCTACCGTCAACTCGGTTACCATCAACTCTGTTGCCGTTAACTCTGTAACCATCAGCTCTAATACCGTCAACTCCGTTACCATCAACTCTTTTGCCACCAACTGTGATACTATCAGCTCTGCTACCGTCTGCTCTGTTACCGTCCACTACCGTCAATTAGGTTACCGTCAACTCAGTTACCGACAGCTCTGTTACTGTCAACTCGGTTATCGTCAGCTCTGTTATTGTTGGCTCTGTTACCGTCAACTCGGTTACCATCCACTCGGTTACCGTCAGCTCTGTTACCGTCAACTCAGTTACCCTTATTGTATAAAATGTTTAATAATAATTTAAACAATAATTAGTAACAGAATCAGGTGCTCACTATCACACTTAAGCATTCTGGAATGAGTCTTAGTGAAATAAGTGTATTTTGCAGGAGTAGTCTGTTTACCTGTCCAGTGTGCTCAGTTTCATCCTTGTTGATCAGGTACATCAGAAAAAATCTGAAAGTTTAACAGAAATCAAAAACACGGTTAGAATGAACTAAACTACAGCTCTTACTACTTCAGCAGGATGACAGAAACACGCGTTATCACCCGACTCTCTCGAATAATTGATCCTGATTGGTCAATCACGACATTCCAGAGTATGTTCTCCAATAACAACGGATTAAACGAAATAACACAGAGTCCAATCATCTTGACCATTAATCAATATAAATGTATATTTACACAGTTGAAGACTTAACTGCATTATTCGCATTTCGAATAATTGATGGATTATTCGCACTCCTGCGATAACTGCTCTTTAACAGAGAGATTTTTAAAAACTGAGATTTTAACAGATTAGTGTGTGTTGAACAATAATTAAGAGAACATTAGCATCTATTAGCTGTAACTATAGGGAATATCCTACTAATTTTGAGCTCTGATTTCCATCTTGCGGGTTTAAAATACTTTTTAAAAATCTTAAGAAGGCTAAAAATATTGACCTTAGCAGTTTTTACTAATATAGTTTACTAATAATTTAGTCTTCAACTATATATACACAAGTCTGCAATATAACAAGAAAAGCACTGGCAGTTTAATACCAGGGATTTGTATTTTAATTTACATCCACTATAACACACACTGTAGCACACACCCAGACAATATAGCACTTCAAAGACTATTAAACATATCAATAAAAGTCCCATAATGCAATTCAAAACCAGAAATAGATGAAAAAATACCAGAAAATGGGTAATTTACAGTTATTTTTTACAGTGCAGAAATGTGGCATATACTGTATATGTTTTTCCCTTAAATCAGGGCTGTCCAAACTCACTCCTGGAGGGCCGGTGTCCTACAGATTTTAGCTCCAACTTGCCTCAACACACCTGCAAAGATGTTTCTAGAAAGCCTAGTGAGAAATTGATTAGCTAGCCCAGGTGTGGCTGATTGGGGTTGAAACTACACTTTGCAGGACACCGGCCAGTTTGGGCACCCCAATCATAAAAGAGTAGCGTCATTTGACCAATCAGAGCTACCTGACCAATCAGAACAGACTGAGTCATCTGACCAATCAGAACAGACTGAGTCATCTGACCAATCAGAACAGACTGAGTCATCTGACCAATCAGAACAGACTGAGTCATCTGACCAATCAGAACTACCTGACCAATCAGAACAGACTGAGTCATCTGTCAAATCAGAAGAGACTGAGTCATCTGACCAATCAGAATTATCTGACCAATCAGGACAGACTGAGTCATCTGACCAATCAGAACAGACTGAGTCATCTGACAAATCAGAACAGACTGAGTCATCTGACCAATCAGAATTATCTGACCAATCAGGACAGACTGAGTCATCTGACCAATCAGAACAGACTGAGTCATCTGACAAATCAGAACAGACTGAGTCATCTGACCAATTAGAACAGACTGAGTCATCTGAACAATCAGAATTATCTGACAAATCAGAACAGACTGAGTCATCTGACCAATTAGAACAGACTGAGTCATCTGACCAATCAGAATTATCTGACCAATCAGGACAGACTGAGTCATCTGACCAATCAGAACAGACTGAGTCATCTGACAAATCAGAACAGACTGAGTCATCTGACCAATCAGAATTATCTGACCAATCAGGACAGACTGAGTCATCTGACCAATCAGAACAGACTGAGTCATCTGACCAATCAGAACAGACTGAGTCATCTGACCAATTAGAACAGACTGAGTCATCTGAACAATCAGAATTATCTGACCAATCAGGACAGACTGAGTCATCTGACCGATCAGAACTACCTGACCAATCACAACAGACTGAGTCATCTGACCAATTAGAACAGACTGAGTCATCTGACCAATCAGAATTATCTGACCAATCAGGACAGACTGAGTCATCTGACCAATCAGAACAGACTGAGTCATCTGACCAATCAGAACAGACTGAGTCATCTGACAAATCAGAAGAGACTGAGTCATCTGACCAATTAGAACAGACTGAGTCATCTGACCAATCAGAACAGACTGAGTCATCTGACCAATCAGAACAGACTGAGTCATCTGACCAATCAGAACTACCTGACCAATCAGAACAGACTGAGTCATCTGACCAATCAGAACTACCTGACCAATCAGAACAGACTGAGTCATCTGACCAATCAGAACAGACTGAGTCATTTGACCAATCAGAACAGACTGAGTCATCTGACCAATCAGAACAGACTGAGTCATTTGACCAATCAGAACAGACTTTTTTTCAGCAGAAGCAGTTCCAGTCAGTTTTGATCACAGTTCAACTTATATTCCCCCAAACATTAGCAGTAACCATAGCAACTCAGTGACATTTGGTGGAGTCTGAATAAACATAAAAAATTAAAGTGATTAATTAATAATAATAAGTAGTTTAGTGTATTCTGCATTCAGCCATGTTTCATTCTGCAAACTTCACATTTAATTGAGCCAGTAAACCATAATGGCTCTGATCAGTGTTTTGTGTCTGATAGTTTAGTGTAGTAATAATCAGCATAATGTACACGCAGCCGGCTGTTATTCAGAATAAACCCTTCAGTCTAATATAGCAGCTGCTGATACACCTGTAGAGCTTTATTCTGTGAGAATAACCGGCTGCATGTACATTATCCTTTACTTCACATTATATGGTAACGTTAAAATGAAGACAGGAAGTGCTCACAGGTAGTTGGCGAGGTTGTGCTCTTGTAGAGTGTGAGTCTCGAAACCGTGCGGCGTCGTGTCAAAATAATCGTTCCCAATGCCACAGATGAAGCATTTGGTCTGACGAGAGAAAACACACACACTCACTCACTCAGAACACCAGTATCTGTGTGTGTGTGTGTGTGTGTGTGTGTGTGTGTGTGTGTGTGTGTGTGTGTGTGTGTGTGTTATGTCAACGTATTGTGTTTGTGGGATGTTAATGTGATGTGTGGGTTTGTGTGTGTTATAATATGAGTGTGTTATGTGTGATACGACTGTATTATGTGTGATATAGTGTGTTATGTGTCGATGCATGTGTATGTGTGTGGTGTGTGTGTGTGTTATGGGTGATATGAATGGGATGTGTGTGTAATATTAACGTAGTGTTTGTGTAATATCAATGTGGGTAATATGAATGTAGCATGTGTGTGTGTAATATGAATAGGGTGTGTGTGTAATATCAATTTAGCGTGTGTGTGTGTGTGTGTGTGTGTTTGTGTGTTATATGTATGTAGTTTGTTTGTGTGTGTGTGTGTGTGTGTGTGTGATATGAATAGGATGAATGTGTAATATTAATGTAGTGTGTGTGTGATATCAATGTACTTTGTGCGTGTGTGTGTGCGTGTATGTATGTGTGTATTTGTGTGTGCGTGCATGTGTTTGTGTGTAATATGAATGAGACGTGTGTGTTTCTGTTTGTGTATTTGCTTGCAATATGATTGGCAGGTGTGTGTGTGTGTGTGTGTAATATGAATGTAATGTATATATTTGTGTGTGTAACTTGAGTGGGATGTGTGTGTGTGTGTGTGTGTGTGTGTGTGTGTGAGTGTGTGTGTATGTGTGCGTATGTGTGTGTGTGCGTGCGTGCGTGTGTTTGTGTGTAATATGAATGGGATGTTTGTGTGTGTGTTTGTACCTCCATGTCTTCTTTGACCTGTTCCTGTTGGTCTCTTAGCTCTCCAAATGCATCAATGATCAAACCTGAACACACACACACACGGACACGCACACAAACACAGACACACACACACAGTTAATGCAGCTTTATAGTGAGGCGTCATTAGTGATCATGAACAGTGAAAACTCTTCTACAGTATTCAGTCATTGTCATTATGTCTGTGTGTGTGTGTGTGTGTGTGTGTGTGTGTGTGTGTGTGTGTGTCTATTGTATGTGAAACTGTGTACCTTGTATGATGGCCAGCAGGATGACGATGACGAAGAAGAAGAAGGTGATGTCGAAGAGGATTCGGTAGAGTTCATACGGGTCACCTGCGGGATCCTCGATCTCATCAGCGATACCTCCGCTCGCACGCACACCCACATACATGTGGAAGAGATAACACTGATACACACACACACACACACACACACACACACACACACACACACACACACACATACACAAAAAATAGTTAACACACACAAGAGTTACACACACAAACACACAAATGAGTGAACACACACATGAGATTTACCACACACAAGCAAGCGAATACAAAAGATTGATCACACACACACACACAAGTGAACACACACATGCAGCAGTGTGTTGCAGCAGATGAAGCATCACTCACCGTCATCATGTCGTCACACTTCATGTCAGGCTCGTCCTCGTCTGCGCTCTTGTTGTAGAACTTGCGGAAGAAGTTGAACGCAACAACAGTGTAGAGATACACAACCACCGCCAGCAGACCCACCGTCAACACCAGCTGAAACACACCAATCACAGCACACTCCTTCACCTGACCAATCTAGAACAGACAGAGTCTTCTGACCAATCATGGCACAGTACAGCCATCTGACTAATCAAAGCTGCCTGACCAATCAAAACAGACTGAGTCATTTGGCCAATCAGAACAGACTGAGTCATCTGACCAATCAGAGGAGACTGAGTCATCTGACCAATCAGAACAGACTGAGTCAACTGACCAATCAGAACAGACTGAGTCATCTGACCAATCAGAACAGACTGAGTCATCTGACCAATCAGAACAGACTGAGTCAACTGACCAATCAGAACAGACTGAGTCATCTGACCAATCAGAGGACACTGAGTCATCTGACCAATCAGAACAGACTGAGTCAACTGACCAATCAGAACAGACTGAGTCATCTGACCAATCAGAAAAGATAGAGTCATCTGACCAATCATGGCACAGTACGGCCATCTGACCAATCAAAGCTGCCTGACCAATCAGAACAGACTGAGTCATTTGGCCAATCAGAACAGACTGAGTCATCTGACCAATCAGAACAGACTGAGTCATCTGACCAATCAGAACAGACTGAGTCATCTGACCAATCAGAGGAGACTGAGTCATCTGACCAATCAGAACAGACTGAGTCATCTGACCAATCAGAGGAGACTGAGTCATCTGACCAA